TTTGGCTGCTGTGCTCAAAGGCTCTCGGTGCGCACGGGAGGACCCGCCACCGTAAATAAACGTATGGGCGACTAACGGGGTCTGTTTCCCCCCGGGGAGGGAGGATCCGGCGGCTCGGACCGGTGTCAGCCCGCAGATATTTAGACGGTATTAGTGACTTTCGAACATTCCCGGAGAGATCTGTTATTTACAGTTGTCATATGTTATTAATGCCCGTTGCCCAAGTTCCCTGGCAGATCTGTCTCAAGCCTTCTGAGAAAGTAGACAATTGATAGATTGTCTGAGGGATGGGGAAAAAATGTGAGTGGGTTTTCTAACCCGAGTTTGCCGAATCCCTCCACGCCTGCGGTACCCTGCACAGCAGCCTCCCTCTAACCTTGCTGGACCACAGGTCCAGGGACTTGAGAATCCTTTCACTGAAACACTCCCTTACTGCTCATCGAGAGGGCAGCATGCTGCTGGGTCATTTCTTAAGGTCTAACCTTTCTCTCCGGGTCCCCTCTCTCCTCAGAAGTTTTCCCAGGGATAACTTCTCCAAGATGTCCAGTGATAGGCAGAGGTCGGATGATGAGAGCCCCAGCACCAGCAGCGGCAGTTCAGATGCGGACCAGCGAGACCCAGCAGCTCCAGAGCCCGAGGAACAGGAAGAAAGAAAGCCTTCTGCCACCCCGCAGAAGAAGAACACCAAACTCTCGAGCAAAACAACCGCTAAGTTATCCACCAGTGCTAAAAGGTAATGGCTGCGGGGCAGGACTCACGCTGACAGGGTGCCTTCTTCTCCCATTGGGTGCTTTTGTTGGCTCAACGTCAGTGGCAACGGTTCAGAAATACTCCTCCACCAAATGTACTTGAACTTGGGTGAGCTGTCACTCTGTGGTGTCTAAGCAGCCTTCCCGCAGCTGCTTTTGACTCCAGAGCAAGTGTACTTTGTTCTGTACTATGGTAACTTCAGGAGTCACGCGTTCTGACAGATGAAGGGGCTTGGCAAGGAAAATTTGGTGAACCCAAATTAGATGGTACATTGGAGAGGTTTCCTTTTGTGAGCTGTGCTTGAGTGAAATTGACAATTCTAGAGATCAGCAATGCCTCTCTCCATGAAACTGAATGGTCAGAAATGATAATGTTTGCTAGAAAATTGCTAACGGCCAGGCTTGGCTGTATTGGAAAGCAGATCTTAGAGTGTGCTTTAAGTTGGCTCACAGTTTGTATGGAGAAGACTTTAAATCTTGCAGCACGGTGCAGTTGTGGCTAAATTATTGCTATTCTACCTTCTTGATGAGGGCACATAAAACTCAAAAGTAGCCAGTTACACCTTTCGATGTCATTCGTGACTGAAAACATCACTGTCCTTCTTTCTCATCCCTCTAAAACTTGTAGATGTGTTTGACAGGTTAACAGCAGGGGAAACATTACTGGGGTGAAGTTAAAGATCAGTTGTTTTCTGTTGACTTTTATTTTCTGTGGTGACAGAAAAAATTCTGCAAGTGCACCGCCTGAGTGGTGGTACTGTTGGGCTATCTAGAAAAGCTAGCGATTAAAATGAGACGTGCCCACATTACCCAGTACATGTGCTGTGTTGGTTTTTATTGGTCAGGAGTGAAGGAAGAAACATGTGGACACCGATTATATGTTGTATTTTTATTGTGATTCAAAATATTTGCATGGATTTTAACTATCAGTCAAATGCTCAAAGCTTTAGACTATCTTTTTGGCGAGGAACAGTCTCTGGAAAGTGCCCAGTTTGCACTTTGTGTTGTGGAGAATCATATTAAACGTGCCCTAAGCTTAAAATGCCCTAAATGTGAATAGTGGACAGTTGCCTTTTGCTTACACCTTGAGCTTATGTACTTATTTTCTTCCTTTGCAAATTTATTTGCCCTTAAATCAGAGAAGACGGTCATAGTTACTGTGAATGCCTATTTGAAATTTTTATTGGCAAAGATATTCGTAATTTTTAACTTTTCTGACCGGTAAAATATTGCCAAAACTGTGAATGTGGTCTTGTAGCAGCCTATTAATTTTTTAGCTCAGTAAAAAGTGACTTGAAGTCATTGTCAAATTCTCTGGTGTTTTCCCTCCTCCCTTTTTGTCTCATTTGCATATAAGCTTGAAAAGAGAATTTCTTTGGTAAAAACTGTTTTTTAATAGATTATATATCCTTCACTTGGTAGTCAGTAAGTACTAGTCCTCCAATCAGGTGTAAATGAGACACTTTTTTACAGTAGCACGTGAGAAAAAGAGCTGCAAAGTTTGTGCTGAGGGATTTGGGTTATGCCTCTGAGAACAAAGAGGAAGCAGCCATGTTAGCGTTACTGAAGGCAAAGCCAGCCTTGCATTTAACTGCGTGGTGGTAGAGGGCAGTGTGATTCCCCGGTTAGTCTGCAGACTACCTCAGAGCCTTTTTGTTTGTTCTCATTTCACTAACAGAATTCAGAAGGAGCTAGCTGAAATCACCCTTGATCCTCCTCCTAACTGCAGGTAGGAAACACATTTTCTTGTTTGGATTTTGAGTTGTGGGAAAATACTGAGAGATTAATGATCTTGCCTGGATATATGTGCAGCCTGAGAAGCCGGCTTCAGTTGTTTCCTTTTTTGTTTTGAAGTGCACTAAGCTAAAATTATCCAGATCAATTAAATAAAAACGGGAGAAAAGGCACTCTTTAGCATGTGCACAGTGTGGACTCACGAATAGAGGGTTTTATGCTTCTGAAATCAGGGTGGGTGGTGCTGATTTTGCCTGTGGCTGTAGAGCACTTTTGTTCAAAACCATACTTTAGTGATTTCTAAAAATTTCAGATTTAAAGAACTGTTTGTGTGCAATCTGAAGTAACCTTCCAAATTTAGAAATTGCTGAATCCAGTGTTAGGGTTAGAAAATGTAAAAGCAATAAAGAAGAGTATAGTCATTTGTGTGTGATTTATTCAGTAATTTGCCTTAAGGATAAATTTTATGTGCTAAACTAATGGTTTCAGTTATTTTCCGGACAATGCATTGTTGGAATTACTTACATTTTAAGCAATTGTCCTAATTACTTGAGAAAATTCTTAGTAAGTAGTAAGTTGTAATTGTGGAAAGAATTTCACTGGAACCCAGGTAGACTAATTTAAGATAGTTATGTTTAATAATGTTAGTATGTACCAAAAGTAGCCACTGGGTACATTCTTTTGGTCTTTTTTGTTTGTTTGTTTCATCTTCTATACTACTTATTTTTGAACAGTGATTTTATATATATGGCTTATGAAATGCAGCACATTTAGAGATAAATTGAAATAATTTGCATAGAAATAGATAGTCATGATTGAGAGTTGCTGTGCAGTTGAGGCGATGTTTTGGGTAGGGAAAAATGCCTTGGCATTTAATCTGTTTCTACTACAAATTCTTTTGCTTGTTCTTTTGTTTGCTTGTGTTGATAACAAGATGTATCTCTTAAGTCAGCCATAAACACAAATGTTACCATTGACCTCTTACTACGTTAATCAGATCTGTTGATAAGGTGGTCTGATTCTGAGTTTCCAGTGAATTAATAGTTCTGCTTATTAAGTGCAGGTATGTCCAAGCTCATCGTATTAATTTAGGAGCTCTGTTACCCAGTTCTGTAGCCACTAACCACATGCAGCTCTTGATGCCTTACTTGTGGCCAGTTCAAAGTGACATGCTAAAGTGTGACATATGCATTGGATTTTAAAAGTTCAGCAGAGCATAAAATTTTGCTGTTATTTGTTGAAGTGATAATATTGTGGCTATGTTTAATAAATGTTTTTAAACTGTTTTCACTTTTTTTAGTTGTTAGAAAATTTACAATTAATTATGAGTGACTAATGCTACATTTTTGCTGCTTTAAAAATAAAGTAAATTGATTACACAGCAGTATTTCTGTACAACCTCCTAAATGGTGTGTCAAATCTGTGTTCATTTAAGAAGGTCAACCTAAGTTTGCTCTCTTAAAGAATCACTTAATTTTCAATGTGTAAACTTATTTTTTCAGTATGAGACATGCAAAGATCAGCACAAAACTTTGCTATTTGAAAATTGTGTGTAAGGTCAAAGAAAAGATAGTTGATTTTTCTGCAGATAGCACAAAGTAGGGGCCAAGAGTAAATCTACAAAATGTGGTAGGCGTGTATTGGATGCCCAGGAGGTCACCAAGAATTATTTTAGAGGAAATAGAAGCTGTCTGTGGGGCAGAGAGTTATTTGCTCTGAGTTTTTCCTTGGTGGACCAGTCTATGAGAGAGTGCTTTTAGCATTCGCCAGTTAGTGGGAAAGTGAGACTTTGTTCCTGCCTATACACAGCAGTTTGGGTCTGTTTTCTCTCGGTGCACATAACTGTCGAATATTGCAGATGACGTCTTTCAGTTTTCTATTTCTTTACTGAGTTTCTTTGCAGCTGCATAAGTAGTTAGAAAAAAGTGGACATTATAAATTTTATCTTAGCGATTTGAGGTTCGGCTTTCTTCTCTTCAGTGCCTTGCCTGTAAAAAGACCAGATACTTTTATGTCTAATTCTGTGTGGAAGGTTTATTCCTTAGCCCGATAGGAACTTTGTGGATTGTTTCCGTGCAGGCAGTGTTGGATTTTGACAGAAAAGTCTAAATTGTATTATATATATATATTTTTTTGCCTTCCTGTCAGATCTGGGAAAGAATTGTTTCTTAAAATTCATAGGTGTTTGGATGTTTATTGTAAGGCTTAGAGTGTATACTTTAAATTTATTCTTTATTTAGGCTACCGTTAAAAATGAAATTTTATATTCATAAGTACATACGTGGGTTTGCATTGTCTGCAATGTAAGAGACCTAATACTATGGTTTTGGATGTGTGTGGGTTTTTGTTGTTTCAGTTTTGTTTGTCTGTTTTTAAGCTTTCAAAGTATGTGACATTTAATTCTATTCAGGGCAGAAATGTAAAACATATTTGTATCTCAGAGTTGAATGAAATCCAGGAAAATTCAGAAAAAAAAAAAAAAAAGAACCAAATTATTCAGTTGGAAGATTTTTATTATATTTCTTCCTTTAACTAGCAGTCGTTAGTTGGGTCTAGTCACCCAGAGTGATCAAGTATTGATTTAATTGTTGAGTTGTGTGCCTTAGGCAAGCTCCACGGCAGTTCGGTGTATCCCTTCATTTCCCTGGTGGTAGACCATTGATGGCAGTGATCACTGGCGATTTGGTTGTACGGTTTTGGAATTACGAGTGCTGCTTTTGCTCACAGGCAGGGTCGGAGTCCCTTCTTAGAGAGCTCTCTTTGGAAACACCCTCACAGACATGCCAAGAGGCATGTTTCCTCAGTGATTTCAAACCCAGCAGGCTGCCCATGGAGATGAGCGTACTGATGGACTAAGTGCTCATTGGCTTACATTCATAGTCTTGCCATGAAGGCATCAGATAAGGCTGGAAATAATCCACATGCTAGCGAGGTTGAAAGGAAACTGTGTGTGCGTTGCTCTGCTTTTAGAGAAACTGTTGACATGACCGTGGAGTGATGTGCCAAAAGGGTGACCTTGTCATATAGGCAAGGCTTGGAGAAACTGCACATTTAGGAAGCTGTGTTTCTAACCTAGCCCGAATTTCTCTGTGTATATAAACAAGTACAAATGTATGCTTCTGAAATACCCATTAGCATGCTTAGAGTGTATTATAATGCAGATGTTTAGGATGTTGGTTGGTATAGTTTTTGGATGTGGGGAATGCCTAGTCATGGTAGATACTACAGATAAAAGTTTAAAATGATATTTTCTGGTAAAACCTAAAAGCAGGTGTTTACAGATTTTGACAGCTTACTCCTGAAGAGAAGTAAAACTGGAAACCTAAGCTTTGAATGAGAAGCTGCTAACTCCTCTCTTGTTCATGATCTTAGTCAGGGGTTTTCTTGTACTGTCTTCTGGAGGTTCCTTAAAGTACTTTAACTCCTAGCTCAGACCTTTGTTACAGGTGGGGGGGGGGGTGAGCCGTGCATCACAGGTGGAACTGTGAGAAGTCCAGAGTGCTGCTCCATCTCCCTCCCCCACCCTGTCAGATTGTAGAGCCAGAACCTTGAATTTAGCAGGTTTTGAAGGTTTGTGTGTTAAGGTTTGAAAAGTCCTAGTGTAGAAGTCGGGCTAGCCGGGTTCAGACTTTGTGCTGCTTAGAGCCATGTCACTGCTAAGTTAGGCTGTGTGTTTATCCTTCTGCTTCCTCAGCTCTACACAGCGTGGAACTCCAGAAAAATTAATATTTTGGATTGGAGAAAACATTAAAGAGCATATATGTTTGTTCTTTTTTCAGTTGTGGTTTTAGAGATGATTATCCTAATATAATTCTAAGCTACCATTTTTACTTGATTATAAGAAGAAATTGATATTCACAGTAATCGTACTTTTTGCGTATAAACCAGTATAGAAAGACTTGGACTGTTTGTAAGATGAAAGAAATTTTCTCTCCCAGAGAAGTAACTGAAAACAGTACCTTGAGAAGGGCATAGTGTAATTAGTTATCTGTTAATGCCCCGTTCAGATAATGTCAGAAAGTGGTGGGAACAGTAAGTGCTTGTGCAGAGTTCCATGCTGCCTGTTGTGTTCTCTTCCCTGAACCTTATGCCATATTCTCATCTGGAATGTGACACTGTGAGAGCAGATGGGTCGTGTTCGGTTATCAGAAAAATTGGATTTGCTTGAGTTGTTAGATTGAGAAGGCAGAACATGGTCTTCTGTTTTTGTTTGTTTGTTTGTTTGTTTGTTTTACAAATATCAGAGAAAAATAGAAAACCAGGCACAGGTTTAGAGAATAGAATATGATTGTTTTCTTTCTTCTGATGTCTTTCAACAGAGAAATATTTTCAGGCATTTTTGCTAGAGGCCTAGATTCTAGGCGATGAACTTCAATAAATGATCAATATTTTTCTTTTGCTTCTTGACCAGTACTGGGGCAGCACCCTCGCCCCTATCTTGGGGACAGTTGCCAGTGCCTGTAGAGGTTTATTGTTCTTGAGAAATGGGAAAGAAGGCCACCAGACTTAGAGGATAGAAGTCGAAGGTGCTGCTGTACCCCTGTAAGTGTAAGACAGCCCCTCCTTCCAGGGGTCCGCAGAACAGAAGCATGGGTAAAGCTGTGAGGAACGTTGTGGACACTTGATTCTGCGCTCTGCCCCCTCAGCCAGTGGATGGTTTGCTTTTGTCTGTTTTCCTGGTGAAGTCTGCTTTAATGCACTCACCTACGCTTCTTTCCAAACTGATGACCCCATCTCCTGTCAGTCCTGTATTAGGGTTTACTTGTCTTACATTGTGATGATGTGCGGAGCCACAGGAAGTGGTACCACGAGGACCTGCAAAATTTCAGGTTTTGAGCTCAGACATGCTTCCAGCAGTGTTTTAGGTCTCCTAACTGTTAAAAGTACCATTGGCACGGTATGGCTTTAGGCTGATTGTACTTATGGTGTTCTAAGGACTGTTAAGGAAGTGTTCAGACCCAGAGCTAGTGGTCAGTGGTAGAGTGATGGATTAGT